TCTAAACGTTTCAGGTGTACATCTTTGCATCTCATTCTAGCATCTTAAGGTGTAATGATGGAACAATGTTCACAGACAGAGTTTCAGACCTGTATCACTACGAGTGACACGAGAACATTCTCAAACCCGGGTCTTCATAAGGCAACTCTTTTGTCAAAATGTTACCCTACTGTTGACTAAACGAGAACATAAGATTCAATTCGATAGCTAAAGATTCCCAGTACGCACGAACTCAAACCATCACAATACATTTATACAGCCATATGCCACTTCTGAATCGCGATCATCTACACTACTAATTCATGACGACAAAATTTAGTCATTAACATAACCACTTCAAAAGGAAGCGCAGTGGTTGAATTATGAGGATCTGAATCCAAAGCGATTATTCAGCGGTCTCCACTTTATACCTACTTTAGATCAAATCGTAAGCTTCCATTCTTGCAAGCGTGGCGAATCTGTTGTATATGTTCTGTGACCGGCGTCCTCCACGTCCTCCACGTCCTCCACGTTGACCACCACGTCCTCCATGTCGACCACCACGTCCTAACATGTACAAAGGGTATTCGAACTCGGGGAAGTCAGGCATTTCAATCTCGTAGCCATAACCATAGCGACTGTATGGAGATCTGTTCATGTAACCAGTCGTTCTGTATGCTCTAGCGGCAGCGACAGCGACGACAAGGAGGAGGAAGACGTGTTTCATTTGCATTGTCACAATCTTGAGACACGAGAGAGATAAAACGATATCAGATTCCAGAGATCTGGCACATAATATAATTCATACCATGGGAACGGATTTAGGTTCAAATGTATGTACAAAGACTCACAGTTGGATTGAACCTTACTGTAGCTTACAAAAGTTGGTATCCATAACGTTTTACCTTTGTCAATAGAAATAATAACATGAACCGAGATGCTAATCACCAAGAGCATTCACTAGATGCATTACAGGAGTTCAGGAATGAATCCTGGATCTATAAATGTATGTACAAAGACCCAAAGCAGAATTGCACTTACCTGGAGCTTAAACTTGCAAAGACGATATCTGTGTAGGGGATCAATCCTTTATATACATGTCTGTAGATGTGTGATATATATGAGATAATCAATCAAATCTGTTACACATGGACACTGCAAGTGCTGATAACAATAAATATAAGCGGTAGTGACGAGATCATTTATCAAAGCGTGTAACGAACATGCTGCTTCCATTGACTTTTGTTGGGATAATGTTGCAGAATATGACGTAACCTTGGTGCTCGGAAACATTATTACATATGTTACGGTTGATATCACATGGTAGAATGTAACTTTAATGCCGGCCACATTATTACACATGTTTAGATTGACATTACATGGTAGAATTATTACTTTTACATGTTGTTTGTAAATACCACAGCTTCTAGAGGCACAAACGTAGGTATACAGACAGCTGATGTTTACTTAAGTCACTTTGTATCAAGTAAAGCAATCAATAGATGTGTCATATAATTGTACACTTGGGACAGTTTATTGGATCGGCGATATGTTGGACACAGGGCTATGGCGTTGGTGTGAAATTGCGTGCTGACGTCGTAGGTCGTTGTTACTGATGTCACTGTCAATGTCTGTTCTACAGGCGATTATTTACAATCCATCATCATATAATTGGATTGCAGCGTTAAACAAGAAACAACGGTACAAGGATGTAGAATGTAATACCTGCGTTGGACCAAGAATGTAAAAACTGCAATATGCATGATTTCCATCCAGATCTTCTCACTTGAACAAAACGTAAGTGTATCGGCCTTATCTTATTGCAATTCTGTTAGTATGGCTGTCAGATTCTTCCTGTGTCTCCGCTCGCCCTGAATTTTAATTCTGCCGTGAAATAACAAAAAGGTTTTCTGATCTCAGTTTGCACCGCCGTTGTGGAAGTGCATGCCCTGTTGTGGGACAAACATACTCTTGCATGTGCATCCTTTACCATTTACAAAACACAATCGCCCTACTGCTCACAAGCTGCACATTGTACATTTGGAATAAAGAGTAGTGCAGCATATAACATGCTTTCATTTTGTTACACTGAAATAATGCGAGTGATGTATTGTAAATAATGTATCTAGAGGAAATAAACACATTCATTAATTCATTCATTCACTCATTCATTCATTCCCCATGGAATAGCAATACTATGATCTAATGGGAAGGATGCAGTTTGTGAGAAAGCTACAATGGAATCATAGATCATATCCGTATACATCATGTCGGTGCAAGTGTGTCCATTAGCCTAGTTAAGACCTAGTTTCTGCCCTTGCCGTTTTACGTCCACAATCTTAGATCCAGTGCCGCCCGTGTACAGGTGCGTCTCTTGTGATGAAAACGTAATATCTGATATTCTTATTTGGAAATGCTTGTCAAAGCTAAACCTTTCACTGCCATTGCAGACGACTTGGCCGACGAGATAAAGAAACGTATTGGGATTGCATCCTGACAAACAAACAAACAAACAAACTACAACAAGGAACCTCATGACTTGATCACTGAAAATGAATGCTAACACTATGTGTTGGCGAAAGATGGATGCATGTCCTAAACAGTATCTGTACATGTTACTTCGCCCACCTGTTGTGTTATGTAATTTAGCTCAAAGTATCGGGGGACAGATCGCAAACATTGTTCGAAATACACTCAGTACATGCACCAGATTGCTGTCGAGTCTGTGGGTATCTTCTAGTAGCAAGGGCTAATCATACGATGTTCACTAAGGTTTACTACTGCCTATGTGTAAGGAGGCGTGAACACCTCTCAGGGGCAGCAACACAAATACACACAAGTGTGTGTATGTATTTGTTTTGTTGCCTATGAGGTATGTGTGTTTGTGTGTTATTGTTTGTTTGTTAGTGTTTGTTTGTATCTGGTTCATCATGCTTCTTCGTGTTTTGGGATGGTATATAGTATGACCAGAAATTATTGAGAATTTTAGGAATATGTTTAATTGGATTTCTAGTATAAACAACCTTGACCAGCTATCAAGTGCTTGGTTTCATTCAAGAGAGACGACTCCGTTAATCCTTTTTCATTAGTTTGTGAAGAGTTATCTCCCTTTGTTTACTTGATAGCAGACGACATTTTCAGTGATCCTCTGTATGGATGATATAGAGAAGAGAAAGTTGATTTTAGAGTATTATAACAAGGACATCAGATCAGCTAAACTGATTTCAAGTAGAACAGGCATCCTTTTGTCCACTGTTTATCGTGTTTTGAAAAATATGGCAAATGGCATTGAGCAACAGGGAGGCGCAGGTAGGCCCAGAAAATTGACTGTCGGTGACAGGAGGCGGCTTGGTATTCTTGTTTCTAAATCAAACGAAGGAGTTTAGAAAACTTAAGGCTGGATATGATTGTTAGAGGAACTGTGGCTGTCTGTAAGGAGACAATTAGAACTGAGCTGCATGCAATGGGTTGGCAGAAAAGTCGAGGAATTCCATCACCGATCATGAAAGGTATATCGGATATATAACTTACACCTCACAGAATGAAAGGCGGGAAAGGTCTATCGGATATATAACTTACACCTCACCGAATGAAAGCCGGGAAGGGTCTATCGGATATATAACTTTCACCTCAGAGAATAAAGGGCGGAAAGGGTATATCGGATATATAACTTACACCTCACAGAATGAAAGCCGGGAAGGGTCTATCGGATATATAACTTACACCATACAGAATAAAGGGCGGAAAGGGTATATGGGTTATATAACTTACATCTCACCGAATGAAAGGCGGGAAGGGTATATTGGATATAAAACTACCCCCACAGAATGAAAGGTGGGAAGGGTATATCGGATATATAACTTACACCTCACAGAATGAAAGGCGGGAAAGGTCTATCGGATATATAACTTACACTTCACAGAATGAAGGCGTGAAGGGTCTGTCGGATATATAAGTTACACCTCACAGAATGAAAGTCGGGAAGGGTCTATTGGATATACAACTTACACCATACAGAATAAAAGGCGGGAAGGGTATATCGGATATATAACTTACACCACACAGAATGAAAGACGAGAAGGGTATATCGGAAAAAACAACCTAAGCCACACAGATGAAAGACGAGAAGGGTATATCGGATAAAAAAACTAATGCACACAGAATGAAAGACGAGAAGGGTATATCGGATAAAAAAACCTAAGCCACACAGAATGAAAGACGAGAAGGGTATATCGGATAAAAAAACCTAAGCCACACAGAATGAAAGACTATATCGCTAAGCACACAGAATGAAAGACGAGAAGGGTATATCGGATAAAAAACTAAGCCACACAGAATGAAAGACGAGAAGGGTATATCGGATATAAAAACTAAGCCACACAGAATGAAAGACGAGAAGGGTACCTAAGCCACACGGAATGAAAGACGAGAAGGGTATATCGGATAAAAAAACCTAAGCCACACAGAATGAAAGACGAGAAGGGTATATCGGATAACAAAAACGCCACACAGAATGAAAGACATGATGGGTATATCGGATAACAAAAACTAAGCCACACAGAATGAAAGACGAGAAGGGTATATTAGATAAAAAACTAAGCCACACAGAATGAAAGACGAGAAGGTATATCGGATAAAAAAACTAATGCACACAGAATGAAAGACGAGAAGGGTATATCGGATAAAAAAAACTAAGCCACACAGAATGAAAGACGAGAAGGGTATATCGGATAAAAAAAACTAAGCCACACAGAATGAAAGACGAGAAGGGTATATCGGATAAAAAAACTAAGCCACACAGAATGAAAGACGAGAAGGGTATATCGGATAAAAAAACTAAGCCACACAGAATGAAAGACGAGAAGGGTATATCGGATAACAAAAACTAAGCCACACAGAATGAAAGACGAGAAGGGTATATCGGATATAAAACTAAGCCACACAGAATGAAAGACGAGGGAGGTTGTACACCGGCTATGTTCTATTCATTCAGACTGAAAGGTGAGAGTGGGTGTGCATAGCATGTTTAATATATTACAAATCAGTGTGCGAACTAGTTTCCAAATGTTGTTACCCAGTCGGGCTGCCTATGCCTGAAATTTACTAGCCCACAAAATAATTCACTAGCCCGAAATTTGAATGTAGAAACTGAGCAAAAGAATTGCAAAAATAGATGAGAATAGGATGTTGTCGGCATGACATGGGTTTCATCATTAATCGGCTGATACGATGAATATTTTTGTCAGACCATAACATCGCATGATGCAAAAGTTAATTATAACTTAACAAGTCGGAGAGAGTGAAATATTTACAAAATGACCCCATGAATTGGGTGTGGGATGAGTGGGGGCGGGGAATAGAATGTTTTCTTTTGTTGTATTGGATATGCTGCATTATGCATGCATATGCAGGTCACATATATCTTCATAGCTGCTTAAAACCTGTAATATTTATCTGTGTTTAACACAACCTACCTACTCTCTCTCTCTCTCTGTGTCTGTGTGTGTGTGTGTGTGTGTGTGTGTGTGTGTGTGTGTGTGTGTGTGTGGTTTTAACTATCTTATTCACTTTTATATTTTATTTGTACCATCAAGTAATTAGTGTCCCGTAGGCCAACTGGCCGGGTGCTCTTTTTAATGCATCATAATATGTTTATACATTTTGTACCACAGCATGTGACACTTTGAGAAAATAATTTCTTCTTCTTTTTCTTCTTCTTTTTTCTTCTTCTTCTTCTTCTTCTTCTTCTTCATGCGAGGTGAGGTAGCCTAGCGGTTAAGGCGCCAAAGACATGGGTTCGCTGTGATATTGCTGGAATATTGCTAAAAGTGGCTCTTCTTCTTAAGTGCTTTAATCATAAGCGCAAGCTGACACACCATTTCACTTTAGACATATATACGTGCTGGTATTTCTATGACCGAACCCATTTATAGGCATTATTCTACCGTCTATTACTGAACATTCCTACGGTTGATGATTTGCACTGGATATATGTTGGATATCCCATATACTTCCACATACCTGCTCCTGATCTGCATAACATATATTTTACTGAAGAATACCAAGCAGTCCAAACTACTCATTATCACTATTCTTTCACAATTTATAGATTTTGTTAGAGAAACAATTAAAATCACATCCAGGACCTACACTTTTACCGAATATCTTAAGATATACTCATGCCAATAATGGTTGTCACCCGCCTCCCCACCCCAACCCCAAACACACCTCACACCCCAACCCAACACACCCTCTCCAATTAAAAAAAATGAAGGGGGTGAACCATTATTGGCATGAGTATATTTATACATTGTTTTGTCCTAATTTCGATTCAATATCAGTAACATATGTGCCACTATGCTGCTTCATGTCATACAAAAACATATTGAGCCTTATAGGGTATCTAACAAAAAAGAATTTTAAATATAGTAAGCAATAAATACACAAATGCTGGTCTACTACTGTTTCATTAATTATTATGTGCATTATATACGAAAACATGCCATATCTTAAAAGCTATACATTTTCACTGCATTAAGATGGAATATGCATAGAGTCAGTTCCTCTTTGGAATTCTTGTTTCAACAATCTGGTGAGCAGCAACAGATCTGAACAGACAACAATTAGGGAAGCACCTGGTGACATGTTTATGGCAAGTCTGCACAGTCAGTGCTAACTCAAGCTGGTCTCTATTCGGTTGATTCAGCCATTAACAGACAGTTTTAACCAATTCCACTTTCACCAATTCAGTTCAAGCAAGTCTAGAAACAGACAAACACTCATATCCAAAGATGATTGCAATTCATCTATACATCTGTTCATTGATTATAATCAACCTTTGATATACAAGTATAGTACATAATATCATCTGTCAAATACTGGAATTTGTTTTCTGCAATACATATTACAATGTTTGCAGCAAAAGTGAGAAATACAACCCAGATATGACACTGTATAATTGTATAACTGGACTCATTTGAAAACAATGAAATGGGACTGTTTCTTATAGTACATCTAGATAACATAGCATTCATGTGTAAGGAAAGCATCTTCTTTATTGGGGGAGGTAACATGTAAAAGGTGAGCATGTGCTTGGTGTAACAGATATACTTTGTTATACACCAAAAATGTACTGTGCATGGTTGGCGGTATTAACATACTATTAGCAGAGACCATATAATAGCTATTATATGGTCTCTGCCATTAGGTGACATGTAATATAGTCATCACACATCTAGCCCTTCAACATAAGTTTAAACCTATGGTGTACAAATCAAAAATAGCAACATTGATGTTATCAGAGACCATATAATATATTATATGATCATATAATGTATTATATGGTCTCTGATGTTATGTAGCAAAACACTCTTAAATATTTCTATTTCAAGATGATATTAACAAAGTATAAAAGTGATGTTAAAGAATTGCACACACACACACTATTTTAGTAACTAATTAAAGTCCTATATATACATTAGACACCTAAACCAAACTGGAACTACATTTGTGGTTGCTCTTAATTCTTGCAAAGTTACTGTCATGACAAAAATGAATGTGTATTCCCAATTACCCAAAATGCCACCAAATTAGGTTGTGAACTGTTTGCACCACTTCCTCCCTCAGCTGCCAAGACACCACCACTACCACCCCAGCCCTTCTCTACCCATCCCCAGTGTCAGTGTTAGTGTCTAACTGGTAAATAGTTGAGGGTTGTTGGAATTAATTAAGAGTGTAAGAACATTTGACTTCTGGGTTCATAACCAAAGGTTTTACAATACCTTTAGCAGATAGTACAATGTTTCCTTCATGAACACTTGTCATAGTACAGGCACTGATATAGAAATAATTTTAAAGAAGAAGAAAAAGAAGAATGGCTATCTTCACCTGAATGCTAACACAAACAGGTAAATTAATATTTGATTTATATTCTACCAGATGTATTACCACCGACTGAACTGTTCTGTAATATCACCCTGCAATGTTAAAAATACTGTAATTTATCCAATATATTTTTGTGTTGGATTGTTCCACACAGTTTTATACATTACTTGTGAAGGAAGTCTTATTGGTATACTTATTATTATAATTCTATGTATCATTGTATATATGCATGGAATTTCAATGACATTTGTATGAGAAATTCTGTCAATGAAGTCAATTTATCCTTGGCATTATCCAGTTAAAAAGGACAAAGGTGGGAAATGAAAACTATTGAAGGTCTGAGATTATCTCTTACAAATGTATACGTATTTTCAAAAGGATGACCCCATGTGTGTTCAAGAATTTGATAATAGTATATACATGTATTAACATGGGGCTTGAAATTTCGTTTTGATCCCTCAAATGATTTAGGAAATTACCACACTGTATAAATAATCCAGAAGCTAAATGAATTGGAAACTATGCTTGAAGTGAATTGAAACATGAAATATTTCACTTGAAATATAAAGAAAAACACATATAACTTTATTAAGGAATTATGTGTTCCCAAACCTGGTATGAGTTAGATGGAAAATTACGTTTCAGATACATTGATCATTTATTGAGAGATTTAAAGAAAACTTTCATTGAGCAAGAAATATTAATGACAGAATTTCAAGACAGTATTAGACAAAACTTCAGAAGTATCAATGAAGGTATGTTATAAAGTCTTTAAAAAAATATACTGTATCTTGGAGAAACAACAAGAAGATGAGATACACAGAAAACTGATATGACATAGAATGCAATAGCAGAATGAGGAAAAAATATCCAAGAACATCTCACATCAAAAGAAACTCAATTAGGAATGATACACTACACAATATCAAGATGGAATCCTAATGAAAACTAATAAGGTTCCTGGGGTGAGATCAATATCCAACGATTCATACATTCTATGAACATATCCTAAGAAACTGAAGTACAGTCCTCGACTTTACCCACTAGTCTAATAGCCAAGTCTGGTAAAATTTGTTCTTGTCAAGTAAGAACACACACACTTCCAGTCCATAAAGTGAGACTAAAAATGCTGAAAATAATGCAAATTTAAATTTTCAGTCCAGTAAACTTGAGAGATTTTAGCACACACTGCAAGTACAGTAACCAAAGTTAAAGGGTGTTTTCTGCATTGATGTGTAGTTATGTAACAGACTAAACCCACGAAAGTTCAAACCCACGAAAGCCTAAAAGTTTAATGCACATTCATATAATTCACCTTTGGTATAGCTTACGTTAACATAACTAAATGAAACTGCCATTTCTATTTATTCTTTAATTTTGTTTTGATGGTTTATAAGAAATGAGGTAATTAGTAAGTCAATGTTTCTTCAACCTCGCCTATGTATGACTAGCAAAAAGTGTACTCTCCTTACAGTGGCGACGGGAATGGTTGCGGAGAGAGTCACACAATGTTTCTCCAGAGATATCTGTATCAGGAAGTAAAGGCAGGATTTGTATCCTGTTACATACCTGTAAAGGTAACTGAAATAGTTAATGATAACATACAGTGCATGAGTGAAGATGTTAAGCTTAATGTTACACTTTTTAAGTGTCCCAAATACCAGTTTGGTAAACCAAATGCTTGATATAACTAAAATTACTAGAATGTTTATAGACACAAAACGTATCACATATCACTCATTCCTCTCCAATCACTCTGCTCTGCTCCCATCCGCTCACTCCACTCCACTTAAATCCAGTCAGTCCATCCATGCACTCCACCTACTACGCTACTCTAACTACACCCTCTTACCTAGCCCGACGCACTCGGCTCCAGTCACTCCACCCACTACGCTACTCTCACTACACCCTCTTCCCTCGCTCGACTCACTCCCTTCAAGTCAGTCCACCCACTACGCTACTCTCACTACACCCTCTTCCCTCGCCCGACACACTCCGCTCAATTCACTCCACCCACTACTCTACTCTCACTACACCCTATTCCCTCGCCCGACGTACTCCGCTCCAGTCAGTCCACCCACTACGCTACTCTCACTACACCCTCTTCCCTCGCTCCTCACTCCGCTCCAGTCACTCCACCCACTACGCTACTCTCACTACACCCTCTTCCCTCGCTCAACTCACTCCGCTCCAGTCACTCCACCCACTACGCTACTCTCACTACACCCTCTTCCCTCGCCGAGGTCACTCCGCTCCAGTCACTGCACCCACTACGCTACTCC